TTTTTCTGGGACAACAAGTTTGATCATGCAATGGTGGCTTTCTTGGACTGTGTGCAGCAGTTCAAAGAAGAGGTTCAGAAAGGCGAGACACGTTTTTGTCTTCCTTACAGGATGGATGTGGAGAAAGGCAAGATTGAAGACAAAGGGGGTAGTGGTGGCTCCTATTCCATCAAAACCCAGTTTCACTCTGAGGAACAGGGGACAAAAGCTCTCAAGTTCATGTTGACGAATCTTAAGTGGGGTCTTGCTTGGGTATCCTCACAATTTTATAACAAAGGACTTTCTTTTTTCCTTAGGGGAATTTGTGCCTTAAAGGCTTTAAATTTTGTTTTGTTTGCAAAAGAAGATTTAGGTTAAATTTAGGTAATATTAAACAGTACATGTTTACAATACCAAAAAAAAAAAAATCCACAAAGGCCACTTTATTTTAAAATATCATATGACAGTTTCTAGAGCTACAGCATGCCGTGTCTAGCTACCAGCCCTTGTCAGTTTTGGCTCTTAACCCCATGCTTTACTTTCCCTCTCTCCCCTGAAATGAACGAATTTAATTTTTTTGTTTTTGTTTTTTTAAACTAAGTTGAATTGAGATAGATGTGTTTTCACTGGATTTTATCTCTCTCAACTTCCTTCACTTACAATATGAAACAGAAACTTTTGTCCCCACTGAGACGAAATGTTTGAGATGCACAATTGGATAATGTGGGAAAATCTAAGCTTTGCCTGGACACCATGTGATATGATCAGAAGCTTGAAATTTAACACTTCTCACTTGGTTCTAGTCCCACATGCCTTCTCTGCTTTGTGTTAGAAATGTGAAATGGTGTTTGATACTGTTTGAGAGATTATGGAGAGATTTAATTATTTGTAATGAAAGATTTGTTACAGTCTGGAAACTGGGGGGAAAACAAGAACACTAGACTACAAGAGAGTATAGTTGCAATAGAGGGAAGAATAGCTTGTATGATGTGCTTGATTTGAGATGGGAGGTGGTGGTGGGAGGAAGGATTGAAATAATGTCTAGAGAACTAGGAGGTAAGTCTGATCAACTACATTAATAGTCTTGCACAAAACTTTTCTGGGTGAACCTGTGCTTCCGATATGTAAAATAAAAATGTTTGGACAGATGAAGAGCAAAGTTCTTTCTAGGTTTTATAATCTGAGTTATTTTGAATAAAGAAGGTTCACGAGCAAACTTCCCTGGAATTTGCAGTGCATAAATTTGACCAGCAGAAAGCAGCAAGTGTTCAAGATTTTCACAAGTAACCTTCCAAATCTTCCTGCCTGTGGGAAGAGTCATGAGTCTATGAATGGAACAGTGTTTGGACCATTTGATAAAATAAAAGCCCTAAAAGAATCTTCCTTTTTTAAAAAAATTTCATTCTACATTTGTAAACCAATGACAATATTCAAACATTGTCTTGGCTCTGAGACATCACTCTATTTTGGATCAAATCCTACCTCTCTGGTCACTCCTTCTACATCTCTTGTGCTGGGTCCTTCTCATCTCTTTGACTTCTACCTATCGGGTTAACTGCCAAAGCTCAGTCTCCCTTTATCTATTTACACTCGTTGCCTAGTGATCTCACCCTGTTTCCCAAATTTGCGCCCCAGCACACACTGCTTCCTTAACTTCAGCATCACACATACACATCCGCCTAAGGGACATTGCCAATTGGAGGTCTAATAGGTCCAACTCGAAGTCCTGATTGCCACCTGCCTTCCAAAGTTGCTTTCCCTCAGCCTTCCCTGTCTCAGAAAATGTCCTTTCAAAATCTCTGGTTGCTCATGTCCTAACACTTAGAGCAGTCCTCGATTTTACGTTTCTCTCAGACCTCACATCCAATATATCAGCAAATTTTATTTGTTCTACCTTTAAAATATTACTGGAATCGGACCACTTTTCACCACACCTGTCTTTGGTATCAGCAAATTTTATTTGTTCTACCTTTAAAATATTACTGGAATCGGACCACTTTTCACCACACCTGTCTTTGGTCCTCCTGAGTTTTATTAAGAATTGAGGCATGTTTTGGTCTGGCCCAGAATATCAAATGATGTTAAAATGGGACTTTTTTGTGTTCGTTTTGTAAGATGTTTCAGAGGCCAACGATGATATCATAGGTATGAAGTGCCCCTGTACAGAAACTCTTTATTTTCTCTCCTCCTACATTTTGGGGGTGTTGGTGGTATGGGGGGATTTTCAGAATAAGCAATAAGCTAACTCTACTGAATTTTATCAAATGTCATGTGGGTGGGGTGGGGTTGGGGAATGAACTGTTTAATCCTAGAATTATTAAAATGTGACTTCTTGTTTGTATGCAGGCTTAGAAATAAAGATCCCCATGGAGCATAAACTCTAGCAGACCTTGGTGAATAACATAATGGATAAAAGAGAG